TCCTCAGAATATGTATTCACAGACGAAAACTCACTGTAACGCACAGTTGCACGAACGGCAAGCTACTGACGAAACGCGTCCAATTTCCGGCAAAGAATAACGGTCGTGTGATATTTCCGTTATACCTGGACCCGACCACGCCCGAAAACACAATAGAATCGTAAAACAGGTCTAGACACGCTCTCTTCGAAGGGTCGCTGCCTCTCGGCTCGGCCGCAAAACAGGCGGTACGGCGCGCTCTCGGAGACGGTTTACTCTCTCGGCTGTAACTTCGTTATTTATCGAGATATTGACTTGCAATTTTAACCAGATATTCTTGAGACCTCAAGCATCAAGAAAATGCAAAAAAAAAATCGATTTTTTCGACCATGCTAGGTGTATATCTCCCTTTAATTAGGGAAAATGTCTCTCGTACCGATTACCGCTCGTCGTTCGTGAAGGATTGACGTTCTACCGTTTTTCGTGAAAAATAGTCAACAGAGAATTAGTGCGATTATTACCAAATTAGCGTGATGTATCATCGTTGGTGGACGGAAGGTGTCCAGTGAGACGACCGTTATCGTTAACGCGTAGTTGCGATTTGAGCCGTGTGAACTCTCGTAATTGGTCCGTATCGTATCGGATCAAATTATCGATTATGGTCTTTAATATAAAATCAAATCATAAAAAATTGCAATAAACCATCATTGTTAAAAGATATATCTCTCATACGCTATCTATTCGGAAAACCTATCGTATCGTAGAATATTTTTCCTGAACCTGACTCATTCCCATCTCCGACTTAAATCACAAGTGAGCTACCGGACCTGTACCGACCTCGTTCCGCGATCTTTTGCGTTGGAATATCGTTTAGTAACAATTATTCGGTAAGGTGCTGCGGCCTGCTCCGCAACTGGTGCCCAACATTTTGAGTATCGCGAGCGGAACGTGAGAAGGCGGTATTTTGCGGCAAGTGGAAGAAAATTGCGTCGCAATATATATATATATATATATATATATATATATATATATATATATATATATATATATACACTATACGTATTCTAAAAAAATATATATACATATAAATAAAATGACAATACTAAATTTTAATAATATAAATTTAATAGTATAGTAACACAAAATATAAATTTTTCAGCATTTCGAAAAAGTAATTTAAACTGAGTAAAAAATACTTATTGGGCATGAGTTGAAAAATATTTTCAGAATTAGAAACAATTTTCAGTTTTAATGATGTACACGATGTAGGATCGCGAATCAACATATTTGAATGTTCAAAAATCCATCTAAATTTTGTATGACGCAATCTCAATATTATAAGAAAGTTAAAGCTTAAGGAACAAGCAAATTATCCCATTACATTCGAGAACTAGCAATACTAATTTTTTATTATTTTTTCTTAATATCTCATTTGTGTATTAGTTGATCTAACAGAGATGCACGGATAATTGAAAGAAGTGTATAAATATTTAACTCTCCATTACCTTCGTATAAGACAAACATTTAGTTGAAATTTTCTTTTATAATTATATAAAGGTAGTTTCACTATTGACTTTGAAACTTTCTGGCTTTTCATTTACAATCTTTTAGGTTATATTTATATGGTCGTTTTCTTAAAAATTGGTAAATAAACTACCATAATGTAATGCTTTCATATTGAAATTCTCGATTAACCAATTCGCCTACTATTTGAGAAGATTGTAAGGCAAAGTGAATTTATGCGAGATTCATTGATACTTGCACTACATATAAATTAAAGTGTTATCTAACTACTTGTATAATTAAAAAAAGATAGATCATTTGAAAGTTGATACATTTGAAATTAAAATTGACATTTTTTATACGTGTTTCTTGGGATTGGGGGCGTAATATTTTTAATTTCCATTTTAAACTCTAAAATTGCGATTTTAATGAAAAACTACTATTAAAGATTAATATACTGATTAATATACTAATATACTGATATTAATACAAATTTCAAAATTATTGACGGTTTAGAAAATACAGCGATAGAGAGAGAGATTTTATAATTTATAATAACATTCTAGATACATGTGCACACATATACACATATTTAACCTTCCATTGGCCTCGTTCGGTTAACGAACGTTAATCCTCTCGAGCGAAATATGTTGCGCCTGTTATTAATTAAATTTAAATAAAAATTTAACTATTTCACACTGCATTAATACAACTTCATAAAAATGAGAGTAGATGTATTAAAACATTAATGTATATATTATTGATCCATTAGAGTAAAGCTTAAATTTGGTAATAGCACAAGTCTCCCATTAATCTCACGTATTTATTAGCGCGCGTTAACATTTTCACAGTCTATTAATAAAAGTTATACTAACGAAATTAAGAAAACGACTATATAAATATAATCTAACAGATTGTAAATGAAAAGCCAGAAAGTTTCAGAGCCAATTGTGAAGCCACCTTTATATAATTATAAAATAAAATTTCAACTAAATGTTCATCTCATACGAGAAAAATGGAGTTACATATTTATACATTTCTTTTAATTATGCGTGCATCTCTGTTAGATCAACTAATGCACAAATGAGATATTAAGAAAAATTAATAAAAAAATATTTTTCCTGTTTGTACAGTTTATATTATGTATTATGTTTGTATTATGTGTAGAGTGCTAGGAAAAAACGGTTCAAAACTTATTAGAGTAGTACTCACTAAACTGAGTTAAAAAATACTTAGTGTATATGAGTCGAAAAATCAACCCTTTCAGAAGCGATTTTTAGTTTTGATGATATACACACGATTTGGTCGCTTATATTATTACATAAGGTGTGAAAACAGATTGTTTTATAATTGTATAACATTGAAGAGATGTGCAATCATAGATTGTAAAGACAAATATCTAATATTCCAAACTGAAGTAGGATAATAAGATAATCTCTTATTGTAAACTGTATGTAAAAATGGAAGAAAACCAAAGGGGAAGGACATCAAATATCTTTTGTAAACACAATAATAAGAATGTTATGAAATAATTTTCTGTTTTCACACGATGCATGTAATAATATAAGCAAGTAAATTATGTATATCATAAAAATCGAAAATCACTTCTAATCTGAAAGAGTTGATTTTTTTATTCATATTCACTAAGGTCTATATTCTGAATTCTTTTATTGCTAAAAGCTTCTCTAAAAGTGACTTGTAGTCAATCAAAGGGCTTATAGGTCACTTTTAGAAGCACTTTTAGCAATAATAAAAACTTTAGAATATAGGCTTAAGTATATATTTTTTACTTAGTTTAAAGTTTATCTATCCTATATGTTTTGACTTCTTTTTTTTTTTAATATCCTATGTATATGTCCATCTCGATTTCATCTCAAATTAATATTTATTGCTTCGATAATTTAATAAATGTGCACAGAAACATAATTTTGTTCAATATATAGTAAGTTTACAAGTAATTCTTTTGATGTACTAAAAATACATTAGGCCTTACAACTTCAAGCCTTGTTGTTGCTTGTTTTATATGTGCTGTGGCTCTAGATTCTCAAAGAACGGAGATATATTTTTTTCTTTTAATTGACTATGGTCACTATGTCTTCAGCCTTTCCCAAAGATATTTATGGCTATTTGGCACACACTGTCCTTTTCTTCTATATTTTTCTCTTAATATTTTCAAATCTCTATTCCTAAATGTTACTTGGAAATAATTTCAAGGAATTAGAAAAAATCACAGATCGTGTCCGAACAGGCTCGAACACGTCCCCACGTCACGGTATCTAAACCGGAATCATTTCACCAACGGATGATGAGCGAATATATAAATTTTGAAGTATATATTGGTATCTGAAGGGCATCATTCAATCAGCTGATCGATTTGTGCGCGCAAGGTGCTTCTTCTTGGCGTGTGTTCAAAATTCAAGCGGACACCTCTCGCCCTACTTGATCTATAAAAAAGAAAGAACGTTTCGCGCGCACGCAACGATCTCGCCATCGTTTCTCGGTCACGGTCAACGTACACGGGGTAGTAACAATAGCTAACGGACAGGATTATTTTTACTTTAATCGTTCAAGGTTTACGGGCGCACATTCTTACAACGCGCCCATTACATCCACAAGATGGCCGCGTCTTATGCAACCTCGCGGCGTGCACGCGTCTGTTTAAATCTGCGAATTAAGTCCGCGCGTCGTCGGAGCTCAAGCTCGAGACGTCATCGAATGTCATGCTCATGAATTACATAATATCGCGCAAACTGAATACTCGATGAAAATCTAAAGCGCGCGCCAGCGCGATCAAATTCGGACGTTCGATTTTCGATTTCGTTGGAATTTTGAGCGGGATGTGTCGTCGCTGCAACACACGACAGGCACACGATCGTGTCTTATCTTTTCCTACCAAAGTTACATAATTAATGTATCATATCGATCATGTGACAGATCTTCTTTAACGAGAGAGAGAGAGAGAGAGAGTGAGGAATGTGTTCAATAATCAAAAATTGAATCTATTCTTGTCTTCACGATCACGTCAATATTAACGTGTAATCGGCGGAGACTTTCCATAGCCGAACAGGAATCTTGACGTCTTTTATGTCATGTTCAATCATATTTTGGGTTATGTAATGCGATGGCGAAAAAAGATGTGGATAACGGACGGCGGGATAATGTGTACCGAGACTTTTTGCGTAAATACGCAGATGTGAACGGTTGCTTATATTCGCAAATGAATCTTGCTTTGCGACCGAGAAGTAATTGCTATAGCGATTATAACCTCCCGCGAGTTTACGGCGTCGTGGAGTCGCTCGATCGCTCGCTTTATTCGTGGTATATTCGAATGAATTAACTATTTTCAGGCATTAATCGCTTGGTTACTGACCACCTTCCTCGACAGCGGCAGCCACGATGTTCCGGTTCGGTATCAGCGACCGCACGCCGCCGTCGTCCAGGCCTTGACACTTGGCGGTCGTGAAAGGCGACCCGAACGGATTCATTTTCATCGCCTCCTGTACCCAAGACAACATCCTGGCCACTCGCGTTTATAACACCTGAGCAAAAGCTTTGGTCAGTGATAGTTTAATAGTGTTGAATAGGTGAGTTATCGGTAGGTCACAATTGTTGAAATGTCAGAGAACGTTCTATACAGCACCTGCTGTCTTGGACGACTCTCGCTACCGCCGAGAAACCCGCGAAAGAGTGGCAGAGAATATTGCAGTGGAGCCTGTCTAATGGCACCGGCACGGAGTTACCGCGTTATAGACGCGAAACGAGTTCGCGTTTTGTACAGATATGTGAATCCGGCATAAAAAGTATGGTTCGCCTGTCTTGGGTGCGTTCCACTTATATCCGTTTCTACCACCTTTGGTTAAAGGGACGTCTACATTGGAAGTAAACAGTAAGAAGTAGGAAGTAAGAATAAGAAATTGACCAATCATAGTTAATTATTCTTATCACATTCGACTGTGGTTAGTCAATTTCTTACTCTTACTTCCTACTTCTTGCTATTTACTTCCAATGTAGACGTCCCTTAACTTATGCTCGATTTCTTCATACCTCCCAATGGATGCTTTCTAATTGCTTAACACATCTTGCCACACACGTACACAAAACCAGTTTATTGGTCATATATTATCTAAAAAATTTTGTAAGATAATATGCAACCAATAAATTGGTTCTGTGTAACGCAACTGGAAAGCATCTATTAACTATCTTCCAGATAAAAATATCCGGCAGATAACTAAAACTTAGTTTTCATCACTGAAACCTCTGTTTACGTATTTAACGGATAACTATTTTTCATGCTACTAACTTTCGACACAAAATATACTAGAATTTAACTATAAATTACCATATTCTATTACCGACATGTTCTTCTCCGGGTCAGTTCTACGATACCAAGCAACCAACATGTTCTTGTAAAGTGAGGTTATATTTACGAAAATAAATATTATTGAATCTATTTTTAGTGAACTGTTTCAAAAGTGGAAAAAACATTTATCCGGCTTAATGCAGACAGAAAAAAGAGGAACAAATTTTACAAAAACTGAAATTGATTTGTTAATTGACATTATATTAAAATATAAACATGTTGTCGAAAATAAAAAAAACCGATGCAACACTATGGAAAGATAAAAATACAGCTTGGGAGAAAATTTTCAACGAATTTAACAACCACTTGTTAAATAATAATATTTCATAAATTAACTTTATTATTCTTATTATAGCTTTATTATTGTTCGAACTAAATACATACTTATTCTTGAGTATTAATAATCGCTCTTCAATTGCATGCAGTAATTCTAATACCATATTTTTTTTCTAACGAAATCGATTGAAAAATTCGGGAGCGGTGCACTTGGACACGGTGCATTTGGACACAGCCAATCACAGCACCGTATGATTAGAGATATTTGTTGGGTTCCTTGGAACAGCGACTTGTGATTGGACTGTGTCCAATTGCCACGTGTCCAACTGATATACACCCGAAAAATTCTACGTCATCCCACGCTTCAAAATGGTTCGGTTTATTCCTGATTATATGGTCTCCTTTCCACGAATTCATCGTCATCATTATTAGATGTTACAATATTAATGTCCATGAGCAACTCCATTATTGTTTTTCATGAAGACATTACATACTCTTTAAATGTTTTAGATTATGTCAAGGCACTGAAATCAATATCTTCCAGATATCTTCTACTTCAGGTAGAGGATAATGGCTTCTGCACACAGGACGCGGTAATGCTTGCCGCGCGGCGGAAGTTCACGCGACAGCCAATCAATATGTTGTTTTTCCGTAAGAGCTAGAAGAGTTATTACGGAAAGCACATATTGATTGGCTGTCGCGCGAACTTCCGCGCGCGGCAAGCATTACCGCATCCTGTGTGCAGGACCCATAAGTTTATCTGCCAGATAAACACTTTATAAAAATAAAGAAAATCGATTCTGGAAGATATCTGAAGGATAAAGTTATCTGCAACTTATCTGAAGGTGAAGAAATCGGGCATTAATCAGTTAGTTATTCTAATGGAATTGATCAATCATATTTTTCGATAGTCAGACTAAAGCCAGCGGCACACGATGCTTGTTTTCATGCTGGAATGCTTGCTGGATGGAAATACTCTGTTCTGATTAGTGCATTCTGAAGACGGACCAATCAGAATAGAATATTTCCATCCAGCAAGCAATCCAGGGTAGCGATGAATTTTTTCCCCTAGTGTGAACTCGTAAAAAGTGAAAATTTTGTAATGAACTCGTGAAAGATGAAAACCTTCACTAAACTCGTTTAAAATGAAAAATTTAACGTGAATTTGTAAGTAAAATATTATAATATACTTAAGACAACACCAATTTGCAATGGACATCTTTAGAATTTTTTCAGTATGTTTTTAAGACATAGTGATGTCTTTAGAACGTCCCTTGGAAGTTTGCTTGTCTGGGATTACTTTAGGATAAATTATGAAAAGATAAAATATTCTATTAATATTAAAATTACAAATCTGCAGAAAATATATATTTCATATAAAATAATACAAAAAATACATACAATAAATACATAAAATAAACTTACATTTTACTTATTGTATACAATTTATAATATATTACACTTTAACCCAGGTAACACACACACGTTTTAAAAATGTTTAATAAACGTTAGAACCAAACCTTTCATAACCATTTCCAAAACGTTTCATAAGGTTTCTGAAACGTTTTTCACAAGTAAAAATGTCCACTCAAAAAACGTTAGGTAAAACGTTATTTTTGCGAAAAAAAGAAGAAACGTTGAAGAAACGTTTTCTAAACGTTTTAAAACGTTTTATAAACGTTTTTTAAACGATTCATAAATAAGGTTTCAGAGAGGTTCTTGTTAAAACGTTTCTTATTGGTACTTTACGGTTCTGAAACTATAGATACTTTTAAAAAACGTTTCTGATACGTGTATGTGCTACCTATAAACTTTCTAATGCATACGTATCTTAACTTTGTAAACTTCGTTGGTATACTTTCACTGCCTATACGTCATCACGCTTCAATCGGCTTTCGATGTTCATTTTTAATGGACGTAGCATTCTTATATCAAATGTCAATTGTCGTATAACCATAAAAATTAAAGTCACTATAAGAACTTCTACTCACTTTGTACATAATATGCGAATGTAGTATTACATTATTTTTCACATTTAAACCGCTTGATGCTTAAAAATTTTCATGGAAACTTACACAATTTACATGTAAAGAAGAACATATACGAGCAAACTGAAAGTTCACGTGAAATATTTCACGTTTTGAGAATTCATCTTTCACGGTTAACGTTCGTCTCATTTATTAAATTTACTCATTGTATTATTATATTATATTATAACTATAAATTTAAGTTGTATAATGCTTATTAATGTGTTATATATTACATTGTGTATATTGAAAAATTTTAATTTTAATAATCTATATTACATAAATATTGCTTTCCACATTTTCATTGTTCACTTTTCATGGGAAATAACTTACAGTGAAAAGTGAAAAATGAAAATGAAGTTCACGTGAAAGATTCATAATCGCTACCTAGCACGAAAACAAGCATCGTATTGCAGGATTCACACTGCGTTCGATTTCCGACGTACGACATCCGATATCCAATAAGAGAACAGAGAATCCAATTTCTAATAGGAGAACAGCTTTCTAATAGAGAATCCAATTCTCCATTGGAAAGCTGTTCTCCTATTGGATATTGGACGTCGAACATCGGACGCGGTGTGAATCTTCCATATGCCGCTGACTTTAGAGAACCTCAAGTAAAGCCCATTCTACAATTGCGTAAGCGTAGTCGTGAACGTAAGAGTCAACCAATCCGAATGTTTTATTCACTGGTTGCTTTACTCTGATTGGTTGTCGTAATTACTTACAACTACTTACAACCGCGTTCACGCAATTGTAGAATAGGCTTAAAGAGAATCGCCAACTTGGTCACGTGACAAGCTGATTGGCTGGGGAAGCGTCCCGATTGACCACGGTACGATTGGACACAACCAACCGATGAAAAGAATTATCTAGTGAATTACTAGGTCAAACCAATCATTATAATCTGTGTCCAATCGTATCGTGATCAATCGGGTCCCACCCGGAAGCAATCGGCATGAATTAAATTCGTATTATATTTTTCCTTTAGTACGTTCGATATAAACGCGCCCGTATTAAAACATTGGTGCGCATCAAATTTAATACGCATACTAACGTTTTGACGATGTAAACCAGGCCATAGGAGCAGGAGTTCGTCTCACGAACAACAAAAGGTAGCACATGTTGGTTTAATATACATTTTATAAACGTATATAACGTTTTATTATCGTTTGTAAAATATATTAAAAACGTTTCTTAAACGACACGTGTTACTTGGGTAATGTATCATACTTAAAGTGTATTAATATTTTATTTTAAATTTATACTTAGATGTGAGTTTTGAACTGAATCAGGATTATATATAATATGTCACGTATTTCATATAGTATGTCACGTATTTAATTAAAATAAATTAATCAAGCTCTTTGCAATCTTTGATAATTGCAATCTGATCATCTAACGTGAGACAAGTTTCAAATAATAACTATTCCCACAGGGTGTATATCAGTTGGACACGGGACAATTGGACACAGTCCAATCACAAGTTGCTGTTCCAAGGGATCCTACAAATGTCTCTAATCACACGGTGCTGTGATTGGCTGTGTCCAAATGCACCGTGTCCAAGTGCACCACTCCCATTCCCACACAGCAGAGGTATCTAAAATATATCATAGGGATATCCTAAAGTTATATTTTGGAAATGTGATATCTTCAAGAATATCTTCAATATCCTTATGATATATTTGGGACATTCCTGCTGTATGGGATTAATATAAGTTCAGTCCTTGTTTAAGAAGAGTTTGAGAATCTCAAATAACTAATAAACTGAAATAATATGTTACATAATTCTTTAAATAAAGAAGATAAAATATTAATATACTTTAAGTGTACATGATATATTATCCTTTGT